AATTTTCGAAAAAGTTTTCTGTTTTCCATTTTCTCGCGTTCACCAGTGATGACGTCATCTACAAATTAGTTTAAACCGTAGTTCAAACCATTCGCCTCGCAAGAAAACGCTTCAAATGTTACTTACTGTTGTTTGAACAGCTAAAAGAAAACCCTTAAATTTTGACAGTTTGTGTATTGGAATTTCCAAGTAGGCCATGTGTGACGCTCTCTTTAATTCAAGTGTGACAAATATAGAAAGTTAATCAAGGAAAAAGGGCAATTGATGGCGTTTTCGATTTTGACAGTGACAGTTGACCAATATGCAATGGTCTAAACGTCAACTGTCAAGAAAAGTGCACTAGTGCAATGAAAATGGAAATCGCCTATGAGAGACATAGTACAGTGTGTGGTCAAATCTCTAAAAATTTTTCTATTTTTTTCAGTTTCCCAGTTCAAGAGCCAGGAATATGAAAATTAATAATTTTGTTTCGACTTTTGTCTATCTATTCCAGGCTCTTGAGCTGAAAAATTGAAATGAAAGAAAGCGCTACTCATGACTGGCATGTCAAGTTTAAACTGTCAAAAAATTGATGTACAGGGTGGTCCAACATAGCACCAAAACGGTTAAAGATATCAAAATGCGGTCATTGGTTTGCACCAATCAAGATTTCTCCGTACGATTCAGAAATTGACGTTTTCTATTAAAAGTGTCCAAATTGGGCCACCCTGTTCATCAATTTTTTGACAGTTTTAATTTGTCACAAGTAGCGCTTTCTTTTATTGAGAAGCGACTTTTTTTTCCGAATTTCTACTACTAAAAAAAAATACCTCAAATTTGACATTCTAAGTAGTAATATCAAGTGTAGTGGAGTGTAGAGTGAGTGAGAAAGAGACGGAGATAAAATGCGATAAAACTAAACGTAACACGGGTATTCCCTGCGCTCCAGTGACTCAGTCATGGGCTTGAAATAAGTGAGTGAGAGACGACATAGGAAACACAATAAGAAAGAAAGAGACGGACATAAAGTGGGAAATTTTTGCTTATTCTCGGCGCTTGGGGGGCTTTGTAGTTTTTGTGTCAGACCAATCAAAAGAGAGAAAGATAATGATATAAGAGATTCAATGAAAAAGAAAGAGATAATTTTTGTCTGACCAATCAAGTGCCTGGAAAAATGAGCCAGCGATTTAGAAAACTAAACGAGTGAAAAAGAGACGGATATAAAATAATATTTCCATTTTGTTTAGATTGCTTGAGATAGAAGAGGACAATGATATTATAATCAAATTACATATTTTTATAAAATTCCAAAGTCCGCATTACATCTGTGTAATTTTACGTGTATTTCTACATGAAGAAATACACGAGTGTATTTGACACTTTTGACAGCTGTTGACATGCATGCATAAATACATGTAGGAATACTTGAAAAAATACACACATGTAACGCGGGCTTAAGCATTTTCCATACAACCTACTGGGATTTATTTATAAAATTTGCAAAATCGCACCTGTCAAATAATTAGCCCAATTCTATGTCCATTCCATTTTAATCGCTTAAGAAAGACAAAGACCTAAATACTGTGTTTAAGTGTAAAGTATAGAATAAGTGTATCTTTGTCCTTGTCTTTCTTATCCCAATAAAATGCGATAGAGATATGGGAGATGCAAGAACAGTGGTCCAAAAACAAAAAAAACACAAATTTTTACTAACAATATTGTTTATTAAATAAGAGCTTAATAATAATTATTTACAAATTTTATGAATTCATTAATAATTAATTAATAACAAATTAAATACAAATATATATATGTATAGCGCTATCTATATATTGGAATAATTGTTTAAAAAATTCAGGAAGCTTATATCGTTTATAGGTATATCCTATTCACAATCTGTAGTCCAAAGGTACAGGTAAATTTATCACCTTTCCCTAGCAAATAGCATGAAAGGTGATAAATTTTACCTGTACCTACCTTTGGACTACAGATTGTGAATATATAGATAATAATTAATATGAAGGTTTGGTCTCGGCTCAATATTTCAATTATTGAGGCCTTAAAATAGAGAAAACTCAATCTTTATTGAATAATTACATCAAAAAACAAACCAAATTTATCGCTTTACGTCACAAAAATGAGGCCAGCTCCATCACAGCTCCCAGACACTCGAAATAAGAGCTTTCGGCCATTAGCTCTAATAATAAAAGTTCTGCGAGAGACGAAAAATAACTTTTTGTGTCTCTCTCCTTCTTTTTCTCATTTCTATAGAGGCAATTATTAGTTTTTCGCACAATGGATCATTAATTTTATGTTAACTGAGAAAAAGTGACATTTTGTATGACAGAAAAGTCTAGAGGTTGGTAAGCTTTGTTGATTTCAATGGTCCAAGGACAATAATGGGATTATAGATATCTATACTAAGATTCTCTCATTTTTATTGGTGCAAATAAGACAAAGGGCGGAGCCTAAAAAGCATAGACGTAGACTGGAATTGGAAAATTATAAATGTATAAGTAACTGGAATAAGAAAATAATGAAAATTCAAGAGCCTGGAATAAGAAAAATAATTAAAATTCAGAAACTAATATTTCCCTTGTATGCATTTCTTTTATCAAAACTTACAACAGGGAAAATTATGTGACATCCAACCGTCAAAATGGGACATACTTTTTCTATATTCTGTCTATTAATAGTAAAGAGAGAAAAAACATTAAAATTCTCGTCTGACACACAGACAAGACAATTATCGATTAAAAATGAACTCTGTCACGAGATTTATTAAAATTTAAAGATGCCTGTTCCCCGATGGCGCGGAACATCTTAATGGATAATGGATAAATTGTGTCAGCTGCCAGGCTCGAATATTCGCTGAAAAGCGGAGGAATTTTGTCACCAGACTTTTCTCCATAAGAATTTAATTATGAGTGAAAATATAGTAATGGAAATTCCTTTGGCCTCAATTTTATTTATATGCATGTCATTTTAACGTAAAATTTGTGGTTTCACCCTGTATACATACAAGCCAAATTAAATAAATGACGTTTGTTTTTTTAAAGCTCCGTCCACTTTGATTCAAGGTCAAGAGGCGGAGCCTAAAAGGGCATAGACGTACTTAAATTTTCTTCAATATATTTAAATTTCTAGAAGCTTCTATTTTTATATATTATTATGATGTTAGAAGGTAAAAAATGGTTCTATATACTTAGCTATTTTCAATAATACTTTTGTTCAATATAAAAAAGACCAAACTCTAATTAGGCGAGGCACTGTCTATATAATAATATAATATATTTATATTTACGTAAGCTCATATTATGTACATTGTAGTATAGGGTACATAAACCCTACGACACTGGATATTTCAAAAAAAACAAAAAGCAGTCTCACAAATCTCGTATGTGAATATTTATATTTACAAAAACTTCTAATTCGCTTGCATTGCACTTTAATATAATTTTCTATTAATAATATATTTTTTTCTGGATTAAGGGGCTGACATCTAGTGGCCTGAACTAAGAGCTGTCATACTTGTCAAAAAAAAATAAATTGATATTATTCCTAAGTAAAAAATAGTACTATATTTTTTATACAATTATACAATTATAAATCATAGGACTAAAATTTTGACAGACAAATGACAGTTACGTATATTACATTTACTAAAAAAGCACTCTATTTAGTTAAAGCTTCAATAGCAAATTCTGAGTTCCACCCTGTATATACACAAGGCAAAATTAAATAATTTATTTTCAAGCTCCACCCACTTTTATAAGTTTGAGGGCGGGGCTTAAAAAGCATAGACGTGCCTTTAACGACTAAGTAAATATTTGAAGTTTTAACTCAATCACTTCAAAACCTCATAATGTCATAGACGTACAAAGAAATAATGAATTAAAAATAATTTCAAACACTCGGTGCATTACAAAACTTTCTAATTACTAACCTTGATTATCCATTTTCAACATCCGCAAATATTATTTGTGTCAGACTTCATTCTTCTTTTTTTTTTTCAAATGATTATTTTGCCGCGTCCACTTGGCACAGGTGGGCGGAGCCACAAAACCATGGTCGCGCTTCATTCTTCATTTTTTTTTTATGATCATTTTGCCCGTCCACTTAGCACAGGTGGGCGGAGCCAAAAAACCATGGGCGCACTAAATACATTGTTTTTTATTACACTGAAAATCACTGTACAGATTCGTCGTTCCGGGTGCTATACTAGCGTTTCAGGCGGGAACGAGGGCACCGAGGTGAGTAAGTCTCAGCACGGGTCGTCCTTGACGCGCCCGCGCGGTTTGCGCTTGAACAGTTCTTCCAGTGGCGTAGCCAGGGGGCCCTTTTTGACGCGGCCCCAGCGGCCGCGTGTGAACAGGCCCTCCAGCCGATACTAAAACGAAATCATCAATCAATTAATACAATATTCACGGACGTCACTGGTCACTGGGATTGTCTGATTAACAATCTCAATTAAAGTTTTTTTTTTTTTTAAATATGTATTGTATATGGTATATTTTGTAAGTGAAAAACAATCTACTAATATGGAAAATCTAATAAATAATCGAACAACAACTACTAAAACCTACGCCTATGATGTCTAAGCTCCACCCATTCCAGTGATTTGAAGACAAAAGGGCGGAGCTTAGAAACCATATACGTACCACATTTCAATAACTAGGGTTTGGGAAATTAGAAAACTACATACATGCAAAGCACGCACGACTCACCAACAACATTTAGAACAGGCGACCACCATGCTTGAGGAAATCTTTAAAGAAAAAGAGGAATTTTCTAAAATAAAGTTTAATCTAATGAATATAGGTACATACTAAAATAAAATAATATTTAAATGATAATATGCTCAGTGTAAAATCAGTTTTGGTTTTGCATATGTTTTCTAGCTACGCCTATGGTAATTAAGCCCCACTCACTTCCCTTATCAAAGGCAAAGGGCGGAGCTTAAAAATCATTGACATGTCATAATTTTTTTTTTTTTAAATAAAATAATCTTGTACTATATAATATGTATCCTTGACAGTCAAAATCGATTGAAAAAATCCCGATTAAAAATTTATTCGCCCGAAAGTTCACTATCCGGAAACTAAAAACGCAAAGTTTGAAGTGCATTAATTCATATTTGAACAGCTCGCCTGTCGGGTAAAGTGATTGATATAGAAATAGAAACACGTGCCACCTTAATTAACTTTTACCTTTAGTCATATATTGTCGTGACTTCTGTGATACTCTCTCATCTCGTAGTTGTTGTTGCCGTTCGGATTTTTAGACTGAACCGGCGGTGACGACAGAAACAGAGTACTTTCGGGCCGTACCAGGAGCGACTCGCGTTCACTTTCGGCCGCTTCCGCTCGCAAAGTACCCGGTACGGCCCCGTTCAAGTTCGGCAATTCGAGTTCTGACCTAAAGAAAACACAATTAATTACAATTTTTAAGAAAAATTGGGTTTTCTTTACCGTAATATTCGTATTTTCTGAATCATTTCTCGGATTTCGTATCGCAGAATGCCCAGGAAGCACAACTTCAGGAAGGCCAATACGCAATAGCCCAGGATGGCTAGGAGTGAGGCTGTAGACCTTAGATAGGCCAGAAGACGTTCGTCACAGCCTGCTATGTGGATCTAGACAAAAAAGACATAATGTTTTTAATGCCTACGCCTATGGTTATTAAGCCCCGCCCAGTTAACTGGTTCAAGGGCAAGGGGCGGAGCTATAGGCTTATGGCTGTAATGTAAGCTCTTTCCAGGAGGGCGGAGCTTGATATTCATGGACGTAGTATGGAAATGAAGAAATAAAAGTTGTTAAGTACGGTTGATATTATGATTGGTAACTTGGGCTACAAATCTAACGAAAGTTGATTTTTATAGTTACAAATTTTCTTTTCCTACAATCGCCCTAGAAAGCAGGCTTTCCCCTGTTTTTTTTCTAAAAGCGCGCGAGAAATGGCTCTTCCCGCACTCAGTGCGGGAAGAGTTTGAAATAATCATTTTGACATGGAATTGTTTGTATTGTTGATACACCTATAACTTTACCTTTACCTTTAATACCTTTACCTTTTTTTTATTAATACCTTTCAATACATTTTCAATTCTACCTTCTGCACAATGGCATTTTATTCAAACTAAACATCAGCTTTAGTATGTTCGTAGAAAAAATATAGTTCCTAACTTTTGCGGGAAAAAATTTCCGGCACTCGGGCGCTTCGCACCCTCGTGCCGCAAATTTCTCTTCCTGCACTCGTTAGGAAAATAACTATTTCCTACAGCCGTGCGGAAAAATCGATTTTCCGCACTGATATGCTTGCGGAAAATGAGTTTTCCCGCACGGCGCGGTAGAACTTTTACCGCACGCATATCAGTTTTTCCGCACGGCTGTCGGTGCTGAAAAAATTTTACCGCACTGATCTGTCAAAAAAAAAAAGAAAAATTTTACATTTTCACGCCTGTAGGAAAAATATTGTACCTAACACTTGCGGAAAATATTTTTCCGCACTTGTTAGCTAAATAGCTATTCCAGCTTTTTTTTCTCAACTTTTTTCCCAAATTTTTTTTTTCCCGAGTTTTTTCTCCGAATATCTTTTTTCCCGACTTTCTTTTTCCCTACTTTTTTTCCCGACTTTCTTTTTTCTCGACTTATTTTTCCTGACCATTTTTTTTCTTGACTTTTTTTCCCCAAATATTTTTTTCACGACTTTTTTTCCCCAAATATTTTTTTACCGACTTTTTTTTTCCCGATTTTTTTTTTTCCCGTCCATTTTTTTTCTCGACTTTTTTTTTCCGAATTTTTTTCTCGACTTTTTTTTTCCGAATTTCTTTTGTCCCGACTTTCTTTTTCCCGAAAATTTTTTTCTCGACTTATTTTTCCCGACCATTTTTTTTTTCCCGATTACATTTTTTCCGAACTTTTTTTTTTCACGACCATTTTTTTTTCCGCCTTTTTTTTTTCGACCTTTTTTTTCCCGCCTTTTTTTTTCCTGACTTTTTCCCCGACCATTTTTTTTCCCGACCATGTTTTTTCCCAACCATTTTTTTTTTCACGACAATGTTTTTCCCGACTTTTTTTTCCCGACTTTTTTTTTCTTGACTTTTTTTTCCGACTTTTTTTTCCGGAGTTTTTTTTTTCCCCGTTTTTTTTTTCCCATATTTTTTTTTCCCTGTTTTTTTTTTCCGACTTTTTTTTTCCAATTTTTTTTTCCCGCCTTTTTTTTTTCTCGACTTTTTTTCCGAATTTCTTTTTTCCCGAACATTTTTTTTCCGGACTGTTTTTTTTTCACGACCATTTTTTTCCCGAATTTTTTTTTCTTGACTTTTTTCCCCGACAACTTTTTTTTCCGACCATGTTTTTTCAGAACCATTTTTTTTTCCCGACCATTTTTTTTTCCGACTTTTTTTCTCGACAATTTTTTTGTTCCGACAATTTTTTTCTCGACTTTTTTTTTCCGAATTTCTTTTGTCCCGACTTTCTTTTTCCCGAAAATTTTTTTCTCGACTTATTTTTCCCGACCATTTTTTTTTTCCCGATTACATTTTTTCCGAACCATTTTTTTTTCCGCCTTTTTTTTTTCGACCTTTTTTTTCCCGCCTTTTTTTTTCCTGACTTTTTCCCCGACCATTTTTTTTTCCCGACCATGTTTTTTCCGGACTTTTTTTTTCCGAATTTCTTTTGTCCGGACTTTTTTTTCCAGAATTTTTTTTTGCCGACCTTTGTTTTTCCCAATTTTTTTTTTCCCGACTTTTTTTTTCTTGACTTTTTTCCCCGACCATTTTTTTTCCCGACCATATTTTTTCCCAACCATTTTTTTTCCCGACTTTTTTTTTCTCGAAAATTTTTTTTTCCGCCATTTTTTTTCCCGAATTTTTTTTCCCGACTTTTTTTTTTTTGTCGACTTTTTTTTTCCGGATTTCTTTTGTCCCGACATTTTTTTTCTCGACTTATTTTTCTTGACTATTTTTTTCCCCGATTTTTTTTTTTCCCGACTTTTTTTTTTATCGAACATTTTTTTCCTGACTTTCTTTCCCGTAATACACAAATAGCTATTACGTTGGCAACACTGTAAATTCAATTTTTTGGATTTTTGCAGTGCTGCCAACGTACAACAATTTTTTATCAATTTTAGCTACTTATGATACTCTACAACTTCTAAAATCATAGAGTTTTATGTTGACAACATTGAATATACAATTTCCTTTTGAGCAAATTTCCAGTGTTGCTTGCATAGAAAACTTCTAGTTCTATGTTTTGCCTACGCTTATGGTCACCAAGCCCCGCCCAGTTTATTCGCTCAACGACAAGGGGCGGGGCTTGATACCATAGGCGTAATATAGTATTGAGAAAATACTAATCTTTATGAATCATTTAAAACAAATTTTAGCAGTGTTGCCAATATTAAACATAATTAATACTTCTATTTTCTTCAACTGAGCAAATTTTGACAGTGATGTCAAATTAGACCGACTTCAAGGTTTGCTGTGATTCTAATAATTTTTCATTGAGTGGATTTTCATAATTGCGATTTAACTTCACGTTGGCAGACTGCAAATTCAAATTTTCCATAATTTTGCAATGTTGTCAAATGTAAGACAATTTCTAATCAATTTCAGTGTCTATGATGCTCTACAACTTCTAAAATCGAACAATTTTATGTTGGCAACATTGAAAATACAAATCTAGTTCTTTGAAACTGTCAAAAACTAAAAACAAACTAAAATTACCCTTTAATGATATTTTTGTACGCCCATGATTATTAAGCTCCTCCCATTTTATTGCTAAAAGAACAAGGGGAGGAGTTTGAGCACCATAGACGTAGTATGACATTGGAAAATTTTATTAAAATAGAAATTTTGATGTTGCAACAAAAATATCTAACACTGAATCAATTGTTAAAATACATTAGCGAATATTGTAGCTTGGGTGTAGTATAGAATATTTTATTTGCGACCGTTATTAGGTGGACGATAGTGATAGTGTGTACCTAAATGCTATAATAGATCTCATGACACGTGTAATATACAAAATATTATCTAAAACCGTCTATGTACAAAAAACATTTATCAACTGCAAAGTATGTAAACACTTACTGGATATTTAAATTTTATAGCAATCGAATTATTAAATATTTTCCCTACGCCCATGGCCACTAAGCCCCTCCCAGTTGCCTGCTACAAAGACAAAGGGGCGGAGCTTGGAAACCATAGACGTAGTATAAAACCTATTCCTGATAAAATCATAGCTCGGTTATTATTAGACCGATTTCGCTGTATAAAACCTTGTTTGATAGAGAATTAAATTGTCTACTCACTTTTGTACATCTTGTCAAATTATTGCCAGCATTTCCAGTGGGATCTAAACAACAACTAGCTGGCATGTCCCATCGGACAGTTCCGGTACTGTTGTCAAACTCGTCGGGTCCAGTGACGCCGCAACATTCATCTTCGGATTGTAATCGGTCCCATAAGCTTGTCATCGCACTGTTAGAGCCGTATTCCTGTTGGAATCTGAGCCTCAAGGCCGGTCGAAGTTCCTAGAAAAGTCGATAATGCATTGAGAGAGAAGGTCAAATGTAAGTTTTTATTGGAGAGAGAGAAAATAAATTATCAGGAGGAGAAAATGTTTTTTTTTTTATGTTGTAATCCTGAATTTTTAATCAACTTTTGATTTCCCTCCGGAGTCGGTTTCTTTATTGCAGATCGCATTTGAAATGACCCTTTTTTCTTCGTTGTTGAGGTGGGTTTTTCCTTTACGGCAGACTTTTGTAGTTTAATTAAAGCTTGTTTTCACATTTCCTTGATAAAACTAGCTTTGCTTCCAAGAAAATAGCAGTTTTCTTGAATATTTTACATACAGAAAATTTGTGCGTAGGAATCGGAATTCGTATACAGAGTGGTCCCGAATTATTCCGGAACCGTTCTGGGACAGTTTTTTGACGGGCTGGAACAAACCTATAATAAATTGAAAATTCTTACCTGACAAATCCTTTCGAATCTGTAAGCCCAAAACGCACCAATCACAACATCGCCGAAAATAAGTACCAACAACAACAACCAATAGGCGTTCAGCAACCGCTCGGACAACTTCAAAGCAGCAAGGCACCCTAGTAGCTGCAAGGCGCCCCCTTGCGTCGCCAAAGCCAAGTACGCATAAAGAAACGACGGTTGGTACAGGGTGAGCGATGGCACTAAACTCCTAAAACAAAAATTTGACATACAAGACAATGACAGATGACAGTTCTTACCGTCGAAAATCGAATAGTAAAGTTTTGATGGCGGCTCCGGTGAAAGCTAGAGCGCCGGCCAACAGGACGGTGTTGCAAGCGTAGATCCAGAGGCGGTAGTAGCGCATGGCCCTGTGACATGCGCTCACGTGACCGGCCTTTTTCGCCGAGCCGCCTCCGACGCGTCGTAACGGCATCCGCCTCCTGAGACCGTCGCCCTCAGCCGTGCCGCCCGAGCCCATCGCCCCCCATACACCTGAAAATAATTAAATGAATTATAAATAATGTTGACTACGTCACTGTGAGTTAGGCTCCGCCCTCTACGACCAACCCAGTGGGTTGAAATTCAAAGAAGGCGGAGCGCTAGTAGTTATACAAAGCGGGTTCTGCGATATAATGTAAGCGTACGTTAAGTGTGCCATCTGACTGTGGGCTTGGGTGGTAGATAGTACAGGTACCAGTGGCGGTTTCATGTGTCACTATCTGACAGCTAGCAGCCAAAGCTGATAGTCTGTCTTTCAGTAATAACGGGGCACCTGGGTTTTGGTTTAAATGTGTTAGACTGAGATGAGTATTGTGCAAAGTAAGTTCTTCATGAATCATGATAAATGACAGTATCTTTATCGTTTTCTATAGATTTCATTATTTTTCGTAATGAATGAAAGATGACTACGACACTGTTACTTAAGCTATAGTCAATATACACCTAGAGCTTCAAAATGGGTGGAGCCTAATAATCATAGGCGTCCGTAGCAAGTGAATATTAATCACTTAAATGGATTTTGGATTAGATCTATAATCCGAGAATAACTTCCGCCTTTAAGACAAAACTTCCAAAACTATTTCAAATTGAAAAAATAATCAACATCGAAAACCATTCACCTTTTCGGTATTTGAACCTTAATCCGAGTTTTAAGGCCGATTAGTCTCGTGCCAAGTTTCGAAATTCAAAGAGGTAATTGGAAGCTCCCCAATAAAATTCCAAGCAAAGCAAATAAAACTCTGTATTCTGGGAAACCGTTTTTAAATTCTACAGTAATAGCTTTCGGCGTGTATGTATATGCATGAGAGATTAAATTAAAATTCACGAAACGACACTGGGGACACTTTTAAAAAAACGACTTTTGCCGCATCGGAGCAATCAAACCGAACAAACATTCAGAAACTCTCGAAAAGGTATTTATTTTTACATTTTATATTTACTGAAATCAATAACGTTATACTTTGTTTACTTGCAACTTCCAGTTTCAAACTTTAATTACCTGCATGTTACACAATCCGGACAAATACGACACACATTTATAGTGTTTGCCTTGTTATTTCGTATTTTCAGATATCAAATGAAAAGTTTCTCCTTTACTACGGTAATTAGAAGCACAAATATATAAGATATACACTCTAGAGATTTTGAGGAAGCCAACTTAATCTTACACTGAAATTTCAGCCTCAAAAACAAACTTTAAACTTCGTCGAAGGAGTTGCTTGTTTCGTTAAGTTGAATTTCATTTGCATTGATAACTTCATTTGAATCCACGGCCAACTTGATATTTTACATAAAGTCTATCCCTTTCTTTTTTTTTTGTCGTCTCTTCCCCTTTTTTGAAAACTAAAAAATATTTAAACAATTCTTCCATTTGTATTCGTCAATTTTGGGGTCAAATCCCCAAAATTTCAAATCAAACACGCCGCCGATCTAGAGATTTTCCCACGGTATCGAAAAAGTTCCCACGCTCAAGTGCCCCCAGCTATCAGACCAATACCCACCTCACAGCTATCAAAGCAATACCCATCTCTACTACGTCAAAAAGTTTCTCCACTGAAAAGGTACCTCTTTCCATATCCCTTCACTAGAATATTTAAACAATTCCTGCATTTGTATTCGACAATTTTGGAGTTGGCCCGGGTCAAAGCCCTAAAATTTCAGTTTTGCGGTTCTCAATATATTTGAGTGGAAGCAAGTGATGAAAAACCTTATTAATTTATTGATACAGCTTCGAAAAATTTGTGAATCTGGTGGACCATTTACGTAGTAGAGGGGGGTATTGGTCGGATAGCCGGGGGCACTTGAGCCTGGGAAGTTTTTCGATACCGTGGAAAAATCTCTAGATCGACTTTTTTTTCCGAATTTTTTTTTTCCCGACTATTTTTTCTCCCGATCATTTTTTTTCCGACTCTTTTTCTTCCCGCCTTTTTTTTTTCGACCATTTTTTTTTCCCGTTTTTTTTTTTTTTCATGATCTTTTTTTTTCCCGACCGACTTTTTTTTTCCCGACTTTTTTTCCCCGACTTTCCTTTTCCCGACTTCTTTTCCCGACTTTTTTTCTCGACTTATTTTTTCTCGACAATTTTTTTTCCCGACATTTTTTTTTCCGACCATTTTTTTCCTTATGAAACTTGTTAGAACTGGACAGAAATTTCTTTGAATATTTTTTTTGTAAACTGACCATTTTTTTCTTCGACTTTTTTTTCCCGAAAAACTTCCTAGGCTCAAGTGCCCCCGGCTATCAGACCAATACCCACCTCTACTACGTAAATAATCCACCAGATTCAAAAATTTTGAGGTTGGCCCGGGTCAAATTCCCGAAATTTTAGATCAAAGGCGCCGCCGATCTAGAGATTTTCCCACGGTATCGAAAAAGTTCCCACGCTCAAGTGCCCCTAGCTATCAGACCAATACCCACCTCACAGCTAACAGAGCAATACCCACCTCTACTACGTAAATGGACCACCAAATTCACAAATTTTGGGGATAACCCGGCTCCAATTCCCAAAGTTTCAGATCAAAGAGATCGCCGATCTAGAGATTTTCCCACGGTATCGAAAAAGTTCCCACGCTCAAGTGCCTCCAGCTATCAGACCAATACCCACTTCACAGCTATCAGAGCAATACCCATCTCTACTACGTCAAAAAGTTTCTCCACTGAAAAGGTACCTCTTTCCATATCCCTTCACTAGAATATTTAAACAATTCCTGCAATTGTATTCGACAATTTTAGAGTTGGCCCGGGTCAAATCCCTAAAATTTCAGTTTTGCGGTTCTCAATATATTTGAATGGAAGCAAGTGATGAAAAATCTTATTAATTTATTGATACATCTTCGAAAAATTTGTGAATCTGGTGGACCATTTACGTAGTAGAGGGGGGTATTGGTCAGATAGCCGGGGGCACTTGAGCCTGGGAAGTTTTTCGATACCGTGGGAAAATCTCTAGATCGACTTTTTTTTTTCCCGACTTTTTTTTTTTCCCGACTTTTTTTTCCCGACTTTTTTTCTCGACTTATTTTTCCCCGACAATTTTTTTTTCCGACCATTTTTTTCTTCGACTTTTTTTTCCCGACTTTTGTTTTTCCCAACTTTTTTTTTTCGACTTATTTTTTCCGAATTTTTTTTTCCCGACTTTTTTTTTTCTCGACCATTTTTTTTTCCCGAAATTTTTTTTCCCGACCATTTTTTTCCTTATGAAACTTGTTAGAACTGGACAGAAATTTCTTTGAATATTTTTTTTGTAAACTGACCATTTTTTTCTTCGACTTTTTTTTCCCGAAAAACTTCCTAGGCTCAAGTGCCCCCGGCTATCAGACCAATACCCACCTCTACTACGTAAATAATCCACCAGATTCAAAAATTTTGAGGTTGGCCCGGGTCAAATTCCCGAAATTTTAGATCAAAGGCGCCGCCGATCTAGAGATTTTCCCACGGTATCGAAAAAGTTCCCACGCTCAAGTGCCCCCAGCTATCAGACCAATACCCACCTTACAGCTAACAGAGCAATACCCACCTCTACTACGTAAATGGACCACCAAATTCACAAATTTTGGGGATAACCCGGCTCCAATTCCCAAAGTTTCAGATCAAAGAAACCGCCGATCTAGAGATTTTCCCACGGTATCGAAAAAGTTCCCACGCTCAAGTGCCTTCAGCTATTAGACCAATACCCACCTCACAGCTATCAGAGCAATACCCATCTCTACTACGTCAAAAAGTTTCTCCACTGAAGAGGTACCCCTTTCCATATCCCTTCACTTTCTTTTAAACTAAAGAATATTTAAACAATTCCTGCATTTGTATTCGACAATTTTGAAGTTGGCCAGAGTCAAATCCCTAAAATTTCAATTTTGTGGTACTCAATATTTTTGAGTAGAAGCAAGTCGTGAAAAACCTTACTAATTTATTGATACATTTTCGAAAAATTTGTGAATCTGGTGGACCATTTACGTAGTAGAGGTGGGTATTGGTCTGTGATAGCCGGGGGCACTTGAGCCTGGGAAGTTTTTCGATACCGTGGGAAAATCTCTAGATCAGCACCGCCTTCGATCTGAAATTTTGGGGATTTGACCTCAAAATTAACGAATACGAATATAAGAATTGGTTAAATATTCTTTAGTTTTCAAAAAGTGGAGGGATAGAAAAAAGTGCCTCCTCAGTGTAGGAGCTTCACGGAAGGGGAGGTGGGTAGTGGTATGATGGCTGTGATGGAGGGGGGTTTTTACGTGGTAGAGGTGGGTATTGGTCTGATAGCTGTGAAAACACTCTACTAATCCGGTTCGAATCTGTACATTCTTGCGTTGAACCAGTGACGTCACATTGAACCTGGTTCAAAAAAGTTCTTCGTTAACATAAGACTGTAGTTCAAACCTTCCATTTTCTCGCGTTTACAAGTAATGACGTCATTTACAAATTGGTTTAAGCCGTAGTTCGAACCATTCGCCCCGCGAGATAACGCCTATTTTGTCACATTCTGGACGTTTAGGTTTAACATTGACATTGTTATGTTTGGCATCTATAACAACAAGGGCCAGAACACAAATGCTTTTCTTATAATCATCACCAGAAATATTTGACCTGAACGGCCATATTGAATCACGTGGTCATTATTGCTTAATTGTTTTTCATTTTGGACTGTCAATATAAATAATCAATTTTTGTCAATTCTCGGCCCTTGAATTCATCTGTCAATTGTCATTTCTGTCAAATTAGAATAGTTATGACTAGAAATGATAATAATAAAACTTTTGTTGTTGTGACCACATTATAATCTGGATAATTTGGAAAAACGCCTATTTTTTTGACATTTGCTAAAATAAATACATGGCCTACTTGATGAAAGATTGTGCCAGAAAGTTTATCTGTCTCTTTGACAAAAAAATGAACTTTTATGACATCATCTGGGGTGCCTAAAAATAATGCAAACTTCCCCAGATGACGTCATCTGTTTCCCATTACAGCAACCTATTAACTTCAGGAACCTTAGCTGTTTTATCGGATTCTCTTTTTTGAAACTCATTCAAAACAGGTTTATAACCGTATAT